AAGATTTGTATTTTAAAGAAAACCAGTTCGAAGGGAGCATAATTTGCTTTTTGGGTTAAAATAATTTCTTAATATGAAATTCGAGGAGTATGACAATTAGATTAATCTACATGCTAATACACACTATAGGCCTACTCATAGTCACCAATGCTGATGTTGTTAACATTAATCATTTGAGAATAAAGCATAACAAAAATAATAATTTGAACGGTTTGATGTGATATGAGCTAACCGATCTTTAGATTTAATCACCATTGGTAGCGAGATTTATGGTAATGATTTTTTCCTCAGTTGGTCAGAACAAACGTGGCAGACTTGTTACTTACTTGTTCAGATGGCAATATATGGTGAAAATTCTTATTTGGGTCATATTCCAAGACGTAGGCTAGAATCTGTGATTGCGAAGTACAGTGAATATCCATTCCACACCGGTGCAGTGACTGACTGCCACACATACTCTTCAGAACATTAGATTCATCCGCGCTGGAGCCGTGCCGACTCACAATCCACGCAAGCTAGATAATTCCGCACACAGCTGCAATTCCAGATTTTCAAACACAGATGGCGACAAAGAGGCAAAAATTTACGGACTGCAGCTTTAAGTGAATTTTTAAATTATAATTAATCTCTCTCTTTTCCATCATTCTCACACACACACAGGCATTAAGTGCATTGATTCCTCAGTCAGTGGTTGGTGTATTAAAGAATGACTCCAGTAATGTTGTAGATCTCATCTCTGAAGCCTATGGGGTGAGTGTTTTCATAATTAAAATTTTGACCCTATTTAGTGATGTTGGCTTGTGCACTGGCTCTACTTCCCATTTGAAATAACAGTAATAACAAGTGGCTGCTAGAAGAAAACAGTCAGTGTTTCCCCGCAACCTTGTTTTCCACTTCTGCGAAAATGGTTAAATCATTTACTAAATGAACTGAAACTGTGTTTATGTATTACATGACCTACAGCGGGTATAGAAAATAATCGCATTTTGTTGCTTTTCTGCCTGAAATGAAGACAGACTCAGTTTTAGTTTTGTCCAGCTTTATTTACTCAATGCAACTTGTAAAATCCAAGTGAAAGATATAACACCAACATGTCATGTCAAAATTTTTTTGTTGAACAACCTTTTACTTTATTTACAGCCTTTAGTCTGTTAGGATATGTCTCTACTAACTTTGCACTTGCAGAACTGCTCAAGTTCAGTTCAATTTTATGGTGACCGTTTGTGGACTGCAGTCTTCAACTCATTCCACATATTTTCAGTGGGGTTTAAGTTTAGGCTTTGACTAGGTCATGCAAGGACATTCACCCTTTTCTCCCTCAACCACTGTGTGGTCAGTTTTGCTGTGTGCTTTGGGTTGTTGTCATGTTGGAAGGTAAACCTTCTTTCCATTGACAACTTTCTGGCAGAGGGCAGCAGATTTTCCTCAAGAATTTGACGGTATTTTGTCCCGTCCATTTTTCCTTCAATCCTGACAAGTGCTCCCTGCTGCAGAGAAACACCCCATAACAGGATATTACCACCTTCATGCTTTACTGTAGAAATTGTGTTATTTGGATGGTGAGCTGTATTGGATTTCTGCCAGACATATTGTTTGGCGTTGAGGCCAAATAATTCAATTTTAGTCTCATCTGCCTCAGAATCTTCAAGATGCGTTTTGGCAAAGCTCAGGCTGACTGCATGTGGCCTCTCTTGAGGAGTGTTGGCGTCATCTCTTTACAGGTGTTGGGTCATCTGCAGTCTTCGTAAGAGACTGGATATAGTCAGCAGGAGCAATCTATAGATTACACCAACAAAATGTGATGGAATCATACCAGGGAACTGTCACTTTTTCTCAAAGAGCAGGGAAAGACTTGCCAAAACCAGTGAAGAGACTCATTGGGAGGTTGATGTCTCTTTACAGGGAGTCTTCAGGTGGTTCTTGTTCTGATAGCGAAGGAGAAAAACACAGGAGAAATGGTTAAGTGATGCTCCATCACATTGCAGTCCTGTGGCATCTGCTCCTTCAACACAGTGCTTCTTTAGTAGCTAAGACGTTTAAGTATAAAATACAGTAATAATGTACAGGTTTACTGTAATTACTTCTATAATATAGTAGTGGTATATAATCCATTTTGGACATTTAGCCTAGCATGATTCTGAAATGAAAACTGCTCACCTACATTAAACTTTTCATTCTCACTTTGGTCCATCTGCATCCTTTGCAATATATCTAAGTCTATTTAATAACTCCCCACCAGCAAAATCACTTTTAAATTATACAACGATGGATGAAACTGCATGAAGAGAATGAATAACATCCCGTAAATCTACTAATTAAGTGAGGAATAATCTAATAGTAACCTGTTTTAATGCACAGGGTAATTTGATTAGCTGTGCTGATAATATACTATTTTGTTTTATAAATGTCTTAACTTTTAAAAGTTCATCACAGCGGTCTCTTCTGCTGCATCTCTACGGCGCTGATAGTATGAGCGCTAACTTCCGGGAACTATTGAGCGGCTCCACGATCTGCCATTGCTGTAAAAAAACTGGTCCATTGGAGTGAACGGAGTTGTCACAACTCTCTCTCTATACAGCTCTGGGTTTAGGTATATGTAAGGTGGGAGGAGTTGGATCTGGATCCAACCACGCCCCCTGGATCTTATGTTATGCAGTGAGGATAATCTCCTCTTGGTCGCCTCTCTGAGTAGTTTCCTCCTGGCTCTTTCATCCAGTTTGGAGCGACGTTTTGATCCAGGAAGGGTCTGTGTTGTACCCAATACCTTCCACTTCGTAATAATAGGCATCACTGTGCTTCTAGGCATTGTTAAAGCTTTTGACTTTTTTTTTTGTATCCGTCTCCTGACTTGTGCCTGTCCACAACTTTATCCCGGAGATCTTTTGACAGTGCCTTGCCACCCATAGTTGATTGTCTGCTTCAGTTGCACTACCAAGGACTAATATTCTCCAGAAAAGCTCTGTTCATGTTGAGCTAATCAAAATGACCACAGCTGATCACAGCTGAAAGTCAAATGGCTTTATGTGCTATTGAGGTTATTAGCAACTCCTGATTGAGTTTACAAGTCATTTTTAGGAGGGGGGTGATCCTTTATCCAACTCAGTGATTCTGTTTTTTAATTTTTTTCTGACATGTTGTTGTCATATCTTTAACATGGATGTTATAAGTTGAACTGAGTAAATACAGCTGGGTAAAACAAAAACTGTCCATCTTCATTTCAAGCTGCAAAGCAACAAAATGTGATTATTTTAAAGAGGGGTGATTCTTTTCTATACCCACTGTATATACCAAATAAATAATTACCATAAATTAAATGATTAAAGTTTAAATGATCTTATTGTGATCATATGAGAGACAATAAACTAGCACAGTGTAAGAAATTGCTTGCCAGGAGGATATAATCAATTATATAGTTTAGTGATCATTATGCAAAAATATTGGACCACAAAATGAATCATTTGACCGTTTAGAATCAAGTATTCCAGAAAGCCACATGATATTTATTTATTACACATGATGTTTCTTTTTGCCAACTTATTGAAAAACTTTATTACATATGGCAAACTTTAAGGATTCAATTAGGGTTCAAATGATACATTTTTGCCATAGACCTTTATGTTTTTGCTTTAATAATTAATTTATCACTGTATAATGTTACACATATACTGAAAATACATGTTTATGTGGGCCAGAATTTGTCGTCCACGCTGGTGTTAGAGCAGGAGGGAGCTCCAAAAGAATTGGATGTGTCCTACGGGTCTTCATGTAAGGGGAATCAGGCAGATATTGAATGGAAGGAGAAAGGAGAGTGTCAAGGTATCAAGCATGAGAAGGTAAGCACCACCTTCAGTGGTTTCATCTGAATTATCAGCAACCAGGAAACATTTGTTGGTGTATCTCATAAGACTAATGGAGTTTTTTTTTTGATTCATTGATTTTATAGATTACTTTCAAAGTACGTTTGAATGCGTCTGCATGTCTGAAGGAGCCGCAGACATTTCGGATCAAAATGCAAGGTATCAGTGAGGAGGTGAAGATCACAGTGTATACGGAGTGTCACTGTGACTGTGGTGTTCCAGAGAAGGCTTCCAAACACTGTAACAGTTCAGGAATTCTCTCATGTGGCATGTGCAGGTACATCCCCCTAGCGTTTCAGCAGGGAACTACATCAGCTGGCAGACTCTAGGAAGATACCCTGATTAGAGGGTCTTTGAATTTGAAAATACATTGATATAAATGTAAATAGTTAGCTGAAATGCTATTTTTTATCAACAATATTTATACTACCAAGCTGCAAAAAAGACAGAAAAGCACAATTAATCTAATTTGCTATTACAGTAATCATTAGGTCTTAAAATCCAGTCACATTTCCAGTCACACATGTGTCTTGATCAGTCACATGACACAGGAGAAGCAATGGGATTTGATGTCAGATATTTCAAACATGAAATTTTCAAGTACTAGCAACTTGAAGTTTAGTGTGATACTCACAAAAAGCTTCCAAAGACTACTTTTATGATACTTCTGTGGTGCTTTTTGTAGGTTGGGCAGTATAAATCAACTTAAGAAAATATTATGGGTCCGGAATGACATGGGATGTGATGTGATCACCATTTTGATTTAAAAAAAAAAACTATTTTAAATTTTAAATTGATGTTTGCTATGTGATGTGATCACCATGTAGATTTATTTAAAAAGCTCTTTTAAATGAACACCTTATTTGATTTAACAGCTTTAAATATTGACATATAATACTGTGTCTTACCAGTTTACAATTTTTAACTTATAAACTGTGTGTGTATTGTGTGTGTTAGCTGTGATGAAGGGTATTTGGGTCAGCGCTGTGAGTGTGTGCAACAGAGTGATGCGGACTCTGTTGCCAACATGCTGGCATCCTGTCGGCCTGACAATAGCTCACTGGTTTGCAGTGGACACGGCACCTGTGAGTGTGGCAAGTGTGTGTGTCAAGGCCAGTTCAGTGGGAAATTCTGCGAATGGGATGACAATAGTTGTGAATACCATAATGGCTTTCTCTGTAATGGTAAGTACAGTGGATTGGCACAAAAATTTAGCTATTTCTTTCTTTCTTTTTTTGAGTTTTAGATTCAAAACTCAATATCTACTCCTCTGTATGTTTGTCATAGGTAAAGGCAGATGTATGTGTGGAAAATGTATCTGTTCTAATAACTACACGGGGTCTTCATGCGAGTGCTCGCCTAGCCAAGACAAGTGTATCAATGACAAACGACTTTGCAGTGGTCAAGGCAAATGCACTTGCAACCGTTGTCAGTGTAACCCAGGCTTCAAGGGAGAGCACTGCTCTGCATTCATTAATGATTGCATGCTGTTGAAGTGAGTATCTGTCTCTTCCTGTGATCTGATATGTGTTTCAAGATTATTTTTAGTGAGGTGTGCTGTGAATTTGTGTGTGGGTTTATTTCTTCTTGAAACCACAATTTCAGTTTTCTCTTCCTGTTTTTTTTTTCTATTGTTCATATGCTTTATAATGATAGTAGTGCTGGGTAGCAAGACTTTTGAATTGTGAATCATTGTGAGGCTTGTGTAATGGACTGTGTTTGGTACTTTAAAAAAAAAAGGCAAACAAAAAAAACTTTATAAAGTTCATTTCAGCTAGTAGCCAAGGCAACATTTTTCATTTTCATTTAGTTAAACTTGATGTGTTAAAATAACTAAAAGTAATACTGAAATCAAAACGAATAAAAACTTAATAGATATATGGAATGCATGAACTGATAAAACACCTTGAATGCAATGTACTACAAATGCAAATTCACTTTGGATAAAAGTGTCTGTCAAATGTGTCTTTGTGTTAATGTGTTTATAGGGACTGTGTGGCTTGTCACAAGGTAGTTGGTACTCCTGATACCAATGTCTGTGCTATAAGATGTTTGAATGCTACAGTATCTCGTCTCGAAGGAACTCGTGAGCTGCATTGCACATATCAAGACACCATTTCGTACGATGTGAAACTTGGTGATGATGGCAAAATTGTACTTCAGTATGCAGACCTGCCTCGTAAGTATTAAAATCTAATTTAATTTCATTTGTCAAGACCATAAAATAAGCACACTCTTGAACTCATATATGACACAGAATGGATGTAACTGTGAATGTTAAATGTTTGTTCTTTTTGTCTCTGTAGGTTCTGTTGATAAGACGACACTTATAATTGGCATCTCTGTGTCAGGCATAATTTTAATTGGCGTTATAATAATCATTATTTACCGTTGCCTACTGGAACTGTATGACATTAGAGAGTACCAGAACTTTGTCAAAGCACAGAAACAGACTGAATGGAAAGAGGTGATGTACACGCAAAGACATTCTGTGTTATTAACCACTTCAACAGATTTAGCTTTGTAGGCTTTAAATGTAGAGCAATTTATAACCTGTGTAGACAACATATTGTTTAAGTGTTTCAGTGTGAAATTAAAGAATTCACAGACTGACCATGTAACAATCAAATGTTTCTTTGTTCTGTACAGGTCCAGAACCCTCTTTTCAAAGGTGCCACGACAACGGTGTATAACCCTTTGCATATGAAACACGACGAAAACGAAAAGGAACATTCTGAGCAGATTATTTAAAGGGGTCGTTGATCAGCTTTTTTCGAAGGCTTGATTGTGTTTATGGGGTGCAGTGGGACATGTGCTCATTATTTTCACACATTGTACCTTTATTCTACACCGCTGTTTCCGTTCTCGTCAAAACGGTCTGTTGAGTTACTGGTTCTATGAAGCCCCTCCCTCAGAAATATGCAGTCGGGCTCAGATTGGTTAGCTGGCCCAGTGTGTTGTGATTCACTAACCGCCTAATGCACTTTGTCCGGAAATGTCATGCCCCCTTACCATTAGGGGTAGTTGCATGTTCCCGGGGACAGGATTTATGTAAACATGTCACAAACCCGGGAAGAAGCTCGTTGTAGTCCCTATACAGCCTTTTTTTGTAGTCCTTAAAACAGCAAATTTTAAAAAAGAAAATATCTCCCTTTGTGTTGAACTTTGAGTGTTGTAACTTTGACATTGCCAGCAGCATAAAAAAGTGAAATCATAATCAACCACCCCTTTAATTTAAAGAGGGAGAGGATCTCTGGGAGTTTGCTCTTGTAATATCTTGTTTTTATTTTTTTTAATGTACATCTTACATTTTAAGCTAGCAATAAAAACATTTAAATACAGCATTGCATGATTGTCGTAAATATTGTAATGTATTTTATGCATATTAATATATATGCTCAACACAAAGCCTTTTTTCACCTATAGGCTTAAATAAATAGAGCTTTTCTGTTTGATAAACTGAACAACTCTACCTAAGACAATTAGCATTTTCAGGCCATGGGTTTCTAAAGAATGTCATTTTTTGAGTAAAATAAAATGTTTAACATTATTTGATGTTTGTGAATTTTGAAGCAGCTGCATTGCTAAATAAAAACCACAATGATGTGTTTTTGCAGCTTCATAGCAGCTTCACAGCTTACATGATTTTTTTTAAAACAGTGACTTCAAGTTATGTCTGAAGTATGACCTGAACAGCTTTATTCCATAATAGTGTAATTGTTCTACTTTTACTTCAATAATAAGAGCCATAAAAATTTTTAAAACATAAAAATTGTTTTATGTATTCTTTTATCTTTTCATTTCATTTCAGTTCAATTAGCAGGTCACATTCTAATGTCCGTTTCTATTTCTGAGTGACTGTTACTTAAATGTGTCACAACTAAGGAAAGCATAAAAATTCTAAAAACTACAGTACCCATGGTCAATTATTTCCACTTCCGGGACGCTGCAGTTTCCCGATAGGCTTTGCGGTATTTTAAACAAGTACGCGGCTTCATTCCGCGTTGCGCTGCTGTCATCCAAAATAACGGCGAAGCGCGAGTGGAAATAACTAATTTTACCTTTATTTACCCACATTTATTAAAGGTACATGAACGCAATTCACAACACTCAAATAGTGTCGCCGTTCCTCCATATTTGACCGTTTAACCTGGCATGGTGGTGGCAGGCTAACAGGTTTGTTTGATTTGTTTACACTGATTGTGTATTAACGCTGGCCTAAGTTAGCTAGTTAATGCTAGTTTGGAACTGAATGTCAAAGTGTACAAGACAGTATAGCTGATGATATGAAATATACTTTTAATGCAGTAACGTTAACTCAAGAGTAGATAAATTGTCATTCAGTCCTTGAATGTTCAAACTTGTATTAAATAACTGCGTATTTTGCTTGGATATGTTGGTGTATATATATATATATATATATATATAGTTACTAAATCGTCTAATATCTGAATGGCTTGTCATTAACAAGTAGTTTGTTTGCAGTCAAAACAGTGATAATGAAGTGCTTGAGAACAGAGGAGTACGTCCAACAGTTATCTTGTGTTAAGGACACTGAAGTTCTTCACGACGAGCTGAAGGTAAACATTGATTTCTATGTACATGTGAGATTGGGAACAGTTTCCAGTAAGCTAAAATCTGGGTTTATTTCATGTATGATGCATACTGCTGGAGCTTTTCTTATTTTCTTTTGCTGCAGAAACATGTGGATGAAGGCTTTGGTCCATATGGTTGCACAATGTGCGATCGTATCATCCGGGCTTGCAACCAGCGACTGGGAAGTGGGTCTTTGGACCCTGCCCATCAGGAGCAGATAGTGGAGTTGGTGGAACTGGCCGTCCAAGGGTTTGAATTGCTCAAAGAGTCTGGAATACAGAGCAACCCATTTTATCTAGAGAAAATAGTGTTCCACATCCTACAGAAAGTCACAAGCCTTGGAGCTCACGGCCCTGCTTGTCGATTGGGTCAACTTATGTACAGAAGACTAAAGCATTTGTCTGCAGAGGTACAGTATGCTTGAGATGGCAAATTTCACATGGTCATGATGACTAGTGTTATTTTCTTATTTATATTCCATTATAGTTTTTATTAATATTATGAATTAGCCTTTTTTGTTTTAATTTTAATTATTTATTTTTAGCAATTTTGTTATATTCTTTGGTTATTTTTATTAGTTGTCTTTTTTTATATTACTATTTAAGTTTCACTTTTAAATTTTAGTTAATTATATTTATTTCCAGTTAATTTTATTCCTTCAACCTAAACTTATTTCAGTTATGTGTCAAGGCAACATTTCAAATTTTCAAGACAACATTTCTTATTTTCTTTCTAATTTTCATCTTGTATTTAAAGTTTATTTTACTTCAGCTTTATTTAAATGAACAAAAATGTTTCTAATATTTAAATTTTAGTAAATTGTAGTTAATGATGATAACTCTGGTAAATTAATTTAAAATGAAATCTCGATATTTCATTTTAAATATCAAGTAATCTGGTAAAAAGTGAAAGTTCATTGGTCAAAAAGTGTGGGAACCCTGGAGACAGTGATTCCTTTTGAATATAATAAAGCGTATCCATATTTCAAGATGCTTTCTGTAACCCTCATATTTTTTGTTTTGTCAACAGACAGATGACTTCCATGTTCTAGTGCGGAATTGCTTCGCAGTGCTGTGGAACAGTCTCCTGTCCAACAGAGCGAGTGGCTCCACCTTGCTTCCACGGGACAGACTTCACTGTCAGCTGCAAGCTTTAACTTTCAGACTCCTAGAACAAGGGTCCAGCTCAGCCTCTTTCCCATCTAAAGTTCCTCTGTTCGTAGAGGAAGTGGTAGTTGAGTATGAAAGATCGTGTGGGAGTTTTACTCATGGTGATGTGAGTTTTCTGTCCTCTGAATTACGAGAACTGTTCTTCGGCCCTTTAATCAGTTCGCAAGACTCTGCACTGACGTGTCTCTCGCTAGCAGTGCGGTGTGAGGTGGTGTTTAAGGTTTGTAAACTGCTCTGCAAGAGTCGGTTTTCAGCCGAGGCTGTTGGATTGTTGCGTGATGCTCTGGAGGGCGTTGATGGTCACGTGGGTCTGCGTTTGGCTTTGAGCCTGGCAGATCGCGCAGTGCAGCTGCAGTCAGCATTAAGCTTGGAAGGTGAATGCAGTAAGGCTTTCACTGAATGTGCACGTTCCCTCAGAGGGCTGCCTCGTGTCATGTCGGCTGCAGAGTCTCATGCCTTATTAGAGGCTTGTCAGTTGGTGGTTTGGGCATTGGAAGCCGGTCAGTGTAAAGAGATGGACGTAACTACATTGCTGGCTTGCTTTTCATTTTTGGAAGAATATCAGGAACTTTTGCTCACACAGCAAAAAGTAAGATTATATAATAATTTGCTGGTACTCATAAATACGTGTTTGCAATATACATTTTTTTAAAGGCTTGTGTTTGTGTTTGTGTTTCAGGACTTATTTTCACAGCAGGTGCAATACTCGCTTTGTTTCAGTTTTTACCAGGGCTTCATTAGCACGTATGATAGTCTTCATGCATCTCAGGTAGTAAGCTGTGTCTTGAGACCATGATCAAGTTTTATGATTCGCTAGATGTTTCACATTCATGTCCTTTATTCAACTTCTGCATCCAAAGGTGTCTGCAGGCGATGCTCTGGACAGAGTCCTGTTGTACTGCCAGGCGACAGCAGGGCGGATGCTTGCTGAACTGCGGACACTCAACAACGACAATTTCTTACTTAAAGCAGGTACATCTGCCTGAAGTCTGCATGCTGAGATCTTATTGGATGAGTTGTGTTTGGAGCCATTTGGTGCTCAAGAAACATTTCTTGTCAAAGGTTTTTGTGCTGCTTCATATTTTGTGGAAATTGTGATACTTCAGGATTCTTTGATTAATAGAAAGTTTACAAGAACAGCATTTATTTAAAAGACATTTTTGTAACAATGTAAATGATTTTTTTTTTAAATAAATGTGTCCTTGCTGAATAAAAATATTAATTTCTTTAAAAAATAATCTTACAGACCCCAAAGTTGTGAACAGTTGTGTAAGTTCACCAGTGAGTCCACGTAAATTGAATTCTATATTAATTTGTCTTTTTCTTTTTCCTAGTGTGTGCAGTGAATAATGTGGTATATGAGCTGTTTAACAGGAAGCTGTATGAGGGAGCCTTTGGTTTGGCTGTGATTGTATGTCAGGATCTGTGTAAGGATTGCCCACCCTCTCTTCCTGTGGATAGGGTAAGAACTGCAGTTTAGTCTGGTCATTTGTTAACTTTTTTGGGGGATTAAAGGTGGGGTAAGCGATTTTCCAAAAACGCTTTAGAAAACTGATTCGGGCCGACTAGCAAAACAAACTTTTAGCCAATCAGCAGTAAGGGGCGTGTCTACTCATGATGTGGAGGAGAGAGCTTTCAGTGCACAGGATGGACATTAGCGAGCCGAGCGACAGAAAGATAGAGATGGCGGATAAAAAAACAAAAGAGGAAAACGTCTGCAGAACAAAAGAAGGCTTAAGGCAAGAAGTAGGACTCGTGTAAATATCGGATCAGCTTTCCAGCGCTGGAGAGAACTCAAGGAGCGGAAGGCCTGGGATAGGACGCCGAGGTTGCTTTGTTTCTTCTCGATAAGTGAGTAACACCGTGTCTGCGCCGCAACAGCTAAAGTCTGTCTAGTTAGTACACTGGACGCGACAAAGCGACCGTTGAAAATCATTTAAAATTTTTGTCAATACATCATAAATAGAACGCAGCAGCGGTTTTCTTTCGGGGATTTGTCGTGTCGTGCCGCGCCGCATCCAGTGTAGACCATAGTAGGGATGCACGATATATCGGCCACCATATCAGTATCGGCCCATATCGGCTCCTTTTTTCTGTTATCGGTATCGGCCTGATAAGAAAATTTGGCCGATATCTTAAAGCCGATAAATAATGCATTATTTCCTTCAGAGACACTTCAGATGCGCGCTGTTCGTTTGCAGCCTTTTGTGCAATTGTACATTGTAATATTGTGTTTATTTGATGTATATCTGATTTATCTCATATAGAATGCGTTTGGTTAAGTTAAAAGAGCGCTTCAGT